TCTCAGGTAGCCCAGGGTGTCTTTAACCTCTGCATATCTAAGGATGACCTTGATTTTTGGTCCTCTTGCCTTCACCAGCGTGGGGGCTGACAGACAGACAGACTGTTGTGTGACACCAGTGCATTTGTTAGAGTTACTTGCAGGCGTATGGGTGGAGGATCACTTAAAGGAGCTAGGATGGAGGCAGCTATCACCCTAACCCAGAAGTCCACCCCAGCTCACAGAAGCTGGAAACCTGGAGTTCACTGCACACGTGACCCAGCTTAGATGGTCTCTGCCTCTGCAGACGTCCTCAGTGCTTAGATAACCCCAGGGAGGAAAGAACCTGGTGAGTCTGGCCAGTTTCAGGGACTTCCCGAGCCTTTTGAGTGGTTTACTTCCTCAGTTCTTTTTTGTTGTTGTTATTGTTTTTCTTTTTCGAGACAGGGTTTCTCTGTGTAGCCTTGGCTGTCCTGGAACTAGCTCTGAAGAGCAGGCTGGCCTCGAACTCAGAGATTATGCCTGTAATCAGAGTTGTGCCCCACCACCACCCAGCTACTTCCTCAGTCTTAGGGAGCTTCCCTTTAGAACAGCAGTTCTCAACCTGTGGGTTTCAGCCCTTTGGGCAAACCTCTGTCTCTAAAGCGATTTACATTACGATTTATAACAGTAGCAAAATTACAGTTCTGAAGTCGCAACAAAATAATTTTGTGGGTGGGGTCATCACAACATGAGGAACTGTATTAAAGGGTCACACATTAGGAAGGGTGAGAACCACTGCTCTAGAACTTAATCTTAAGGAGCTTTGGACATAGGTCTGCACCACCAAAGTGCTGGGTATCAAGCCCAGCGTTGTACATACTAGGCAAGCACTCTGCCAGCTGAGCTATAGTCCCATAACCTAATAATTAACTTATATAGGTAAATATTAGGAAAACTAGTATTTAATTACTATCTCTGTAATCCAGGACAAGTTTAATACACTGAACCTCAATTTTCTGAAGACAGGATGATTAATAATTTTCACAGAGACATGTATCTGGGTTAAATTAGAGAAGACACAGTTTGTCGTATATATGTACTCCAGTGTTAGGTATTATTGAAAATGATACAATAACGATTTGAAGTCCACCTGCAATCTCAGAATTTGAGAGGCAGACAAGAGGATCATTGGTTCAAGACCAAGCTGCTGCTACATTAAGCCAGGCCAGCCTGGGCTACATTAAGACTGGCGGTGGTGGCACACTCCTTACAGAAAGAAACCTTGTCTTGAAAAAAAAAAACGAAAAACCAAAACCAACCAAACAAAAAACCTGACACAGACAAAACAACAACAACAACACTGTCTCAAAAAAAATTTGAGCCGGGCGGTGGTGGCGCACGCCTTTGATCCCAGCACTCGGGAGGCAGAGGCAGGCGGATCTCCGTGAGTTCGAGGCCAGCCTGGTCTACAACGCGAGAGCAAAGCTACACAGAGAAACCCTGTCTCGAAAAACCAAAAAAAAAAAAAAAAATTTGAAAGATCACAGAGCCAACATTAAGTTAATTTAGATCTCACTTTGATCTCATATTAGATAAATTAAGAACATAGGGTGTTAGGCCTAGGGTAGTGGCCACACCTTTAATCCCAGCCCTTAGGAGGCAGAGGCAAGTGAGTGATCCCTGAGTTCAGGTCCAGCCTGGTCTATAAAGTGAGTTCCTGGACAGCCAGGCTACATAGGGACACCCTGCCCTGCCTCACCTTATTCCCTCCCCAGAAGAAGGAAGGGGCGGCAGGAGCAGCTGTGGCTGCTGACACTTTTGCTCGTGTGGCTGTGGGAGTGCCGCTAACCCTGAGTTCTGGGTTCCCATTCTGAGGTCCCTGAACACCGACCCTGGCTTTACTCAGCAGCAAACCCTGGACTGCTGTCAGTCTGGTTCTAGTTTACCGTTTCTCATCAGTATCTCCACTGCTCTCTGGAAACTGCTTACCTAATGTTTGTGAGGCTGGCAACGGTTATTTCTCTGGTTTTCTACTACACTGAGAGTTACCTTAGTGTTTTTTGTTTGTTTGGTTTTGTTTTTTTTTTTTTTTTTTTGTTTTGAGATAGGGTCTCATTCTGTATCCTTGTCTGTCTTGGAACTCACTGTGTAAACCAGGCTGGCCTCCATCTCCCAGAGATCCACTTACCTCTGCCTCCAGAGTGCTGGCATTAAAGGCATACACCACCATGCCCAGCTATCTTCATTTTTAAATACAATTTTTAAAACTGAAAACAATCTCACCGATTATTTTGAACTAACATAATAATGGGTAGGTAATAAATTACTCATCGTTTGGTGTTGAAAACCTGCAAGTAAACAGAGGGATTTATATGTGTGCTATTAATTTTCACAGGAAAATGTGTTAGAGTTGCTAGCAGTTACGAAATTATGCTCTGAAGTAATATAGTGTGGTGACTGAGTGTACTCCTTACACTTCAGCACAGCATGTAGATCCCAAATGATGAACTTAAAATGCATGGCCCTAAGGTATATTTGATGGCAAAGCGAATGCTGAGCATGTGCTACAGTACTCAATTCAATCCCCAGTACAACAGAAAAACAACTATATCTCCATTGCATTAAAATGAGTTTCAAGGTAGGTGACATGCCTGCCACCAAGCCTGATGGTCTGAGTTCCAGCCCAGAAACCACATGTTGGAAAGAGAACCAAGTGAGTTTTGCCAGTTGTCTTCCTCCCTCCACACACATGCCTTGGCATGCACATGCCCACACACAGAACGTTAAAAAAAAAAAACAAAACAAAAAAACCTTAACTGCATTTTAATGTTCTTCAGGAGCTCGTCTTCTGTTCTCATCACATGTATTCTCTTAACGCAGGAAGAGGGGCTGGAGAGGGGACTCACGATGTGCATGCTGCTGCACAATCCTGAGGACTGGACTTTGGATTCCAGCAGGCTCGTAGCAAGCTGGGAATCCTGTGCCTGCCTCTGAGTGTGACCTTGTACACACGCAAGCGCATGCACACACCCGCACACACAGTTTACATTTCCTTCCTCTCCACGCAGTGGTTCCTTTCATGGTCAGTCTCCTCATTCCTTCCTTTTAAACTCTGAAGGGAAGTAGGAGTAACCCTCCTGCTTCTCTGCCAAGAGAATCCTGAACCCAAATGAAGCAGTAGATTTAACAGAAGCAGGGGCTTAATTCGGACTGCTGAATTTCCAGAGGATCTTGAGAAGTGTAGCTCATCAGAGAGCACACACTGACTATAAAGAAGGGGTGGAGGAAGAGGGGAGGAGAGCAGCACCCGGTACTGAGCGGATGATTAACTAAATAGCTGGGATCAGGTCCATCGGCTTCTTAAAACCCAAGGCCCATTTTCTTGCCCTTTGATTTCCCTTTTCTTCTGTGTGTTTTTGCCAAATAATGTTTCATGTAAGGAAAAATATCACGGGAAATTTTCTCAAAATTTCATTTGTTTTGTGTGTGTATGTGTGTGTGTGTAGGTCAGAGGAGGGTTTGTGGTAGTCCGTTCTGTCCGTCTGCCCTGTGGGTTCTGGGGACTTAGTAGTCAGGCTTGGAGGAAGAAACTTTACCTGCTGCTGAGTCATCTTGCTGGCTTGGAAAGTTTCTTCTCTCACATTAAAAAACAAAACTTTTTTTTAAATTTTTATTTTGAGCATACACATGGAGGTCAAAGGACAACTCTTGGGAGGCAGCTTCCTCATTCCGCCATGTTGGTTCCAGGGAGTAAACGCAGGCCGCTAGGTTTGGCAGCAATTGTCTTCACCCACTGAGCCTCCCTGGCCTGACAGGAAAACTTTCCAAGCTCATTTTCCCTTTTTTGTGTCCGGCAAAAATCTTACTTCGTTTCTGTGTTCACCCCCCCCACCCCATGTAATTTTTTTGTTTTGTTTTTTTGTTTTTGTTTTTACATCCTGACCAAAGTCTCCCGACCCTACCCTCCTCCCGGTTCCTCTCTGCACACCCTTATCTTTTGCAGTGGTTAATAAACTCCTATTGTAACTTTACCCTGCTTACTAAGTATTTAAGTTAGAAGCCTGCAAAACAGGAAGCTTTAGAAATATTCATTTGTTCTTGCAGCCTGTGAGAGAGAATGTGTGTGACTGTGAGTCAATTCCAGAGTGATTTCAGTATGCTTAGAAGTAGCATGTAACCTGTGAATACATTTTATATCTCAAATTCGAGATGCTCTCTGCCTCATGGGTTTGCTGCTGAAGACTGGATAATTGGGTAATCTTGCATGTAGCTGGTGGTAGATGGTCTACCCACTTGCTCTCACTTCCTACTGTGGCTCCCTCACCATGCCACCCTGGCCTTGCTGGCCTGTCCTAGCAGAGTGCATGCCCCTGGGCCCTTGGATTTTCTGTTCTCTGTTCTTTCCCCTGGTATCTGTACAGCTCACTTCCTGGTTTTACTCAAGTCCCTGTTAGATGTAGCAATTGGAAAAGTGGCCCCTAGTTTTTGTCTTTGGTCTTTGTGATTTTTGTCTCTCCAGAGCTGGAGACTGAACCCAGGGAGACACACACAATAAATAAATGTAATAAAATAGCACTCTCTTACTCAGTTGCTGCTTCTCCACCCCAACCTGTGTGTGTCTGTCTGTCTCTCTCTTTTTTGACAGAGTCTCACTAGGTAGCCTAGGTTGGTCCCAAAGTTTGACCCTTCTGCCTCAGCCTCCTGAGTGCTGGTGTCCCAGGTGAGCCACCGATCCCGGAAGCTGTTTTCTTTCCAGCACTGACTGAACATAATGTTTGGATCTGCCCATAGTGTCTTTAAATGTGAGAGCAGACTTGGCTTTGTTACTACTGTGCCTGCCACACAGGACAGCACTCAGTAGACAGCAGGCACTCAATTGTTAAATAAATTGCCACTGATAACAGTATTTCAATAACCTGCCCTTCACCTTATTCTGTATGGCCTTTGGAAATTGCTGCCTTCTGCCTAGGAATTGCGTAGACCTCATTACAAATGAGCAAAGTGCTAATGCCCAATTTCTCTGATTTTGCTCCTTTTAGGTCTCAGTGTGGCCCAGAAGCCCTTTGGAGCCACGTATGTGTGGAGCAGCATTATAAACACACTTCAGACCCAAGTGGAGGTGAAGAAACGGAGGCATCACTTAAAGCGGCACCACGACTGCTTCGTGGGCTCCGAGGCTGTGGACGTCATCTACGCTCACTTAACTCAGAACAAATTCTTCGGGGATGTCGAAATCCCTCGGGCCAAAGTGGTGAGAGTCTGTCAGGCACTCATGGACTACAAAGTGTTTGAAGCGGTCCCAACCAGAGTCTTCGGGAAGGACAGAAAGCCTGCGTTTGAAGATAGTAGTTGCAGCCTGTATAGGTTCACAACTCTACCTAATCAGAACGGTCAACCAGGCAACGAGAACAAAGTGTGCCCACCTTCCAGGTGAGTCCCACCTTCCAGGTGAGTCCTGCTCTTAGGGGATCATGGGCGTATTAGCAGAATTTTTTTCTACTTTTTTTTTAAAAGATTGTAAGTGAAGCCGGGAGGTGGGGCACACGCCTTTAATCCCAGCACTCAGGAGGCAGAGGCAGGCAGATCTCTGTGAGTTCGAGGCCAGCCTGGTCTCCAAAGTGAATTCCAGGAAAGGCGCAAAGCTACACAGAGAAACCCTGTCTCGAAAAACAAACAAACAAAAAAAGATTGTAAGTGATAATTTTGGCTACAATCTAAATGGTGGTAAATTTAATAAAATACAGCAAAATGTTGATGTACCAGGCACATCCGAGACTGCATTTGGTTGTACTTGTATTTTGCAGGAACAGTCAACAAACTTTGTTTTTCTGTCTCAAGTTATAGTAACAGTGTAAAAAAATGGAAATTTGTGGGATGAGAACAGAGAGAAAGGAAGGGCAGGGAGAGAGACACCAGCTCCTAGGGCATCCTTGGGATCCAGAAAGTGGTGGATACAGAGTGTGCACGGTGAATGAGAGCTTTGTGTGACATGCTAAAGGATCTGTGTGCTTTTGGTCTGGGGGTTTGTTCTGAAGTTTTGAGACAAGGTCTCCCTAAATGTCTCAGGCATTCATGAATTCCTGAGCTCAAGCCAGCCATCTCCCCTACAGGTGTGTGCCACTGCTCTGCAATGGTAAGGAACTTGGGACTTGGTCATAATAGGTGTTGGGAAGGCCACGAGAGACGTTCACCAGGATGGAACCGTGTCTTAGAAAGGTCATTTGGGGCTGGAAATGGCACTGCGTGGTTGGGGAGAACTAGGTAAGCAGTGTTGCAGGCTAGGGAAGAGGAGGCTAACCAGACGTGGGGGAGGAAAGAGGGAGACCAGAGAGACAACGTGGGACCAGTGACTGAGATGAGCGCAGGTGAGGAGGGCGTGATGAGTTTGTGAAGTACAGAGCCTGGCTTTCCCTTCGTTGCTGGAGCGAAGCTGTAGAGACAGTCATTTGATGCTCTGGTTCGGCTCTGACCTTTGGGTATTGACTTTTCAAATATTTTTAAGTCTCTCAACAAAATGTATCTCTATAGACACAAGCAAAGGAAATAAGGTAAAGTAGAACGTGCTCCCCATTCTTCAAGGGCATCTTCGTGCTTTGTTTGGAACCCTTGAGACCAAAAATGTGTAGTAATTTGTAACTGTGATTTTAGAAAGGACCTTTTGTATATAAATATTGTACAGTACTGTTACGGTCTTCAACACTGTGTGGTAATGAAACATTAATATTTCTGTGACAGACTAGGAACCAAAGACCAATGTCAGGATTTTGTTTTCTTTGGTGTTTGTTTTGAGATGGTCTCACTGTGGAGCCCAAGCTGACCCATAACTTGGTGTAGATAGCAACCCAGGCTCACAGTAAACTCAACATTCTCTTTCCTCTGCCTCTGGAGGGCTAGAATTAAAAGTTTTACCATCAAGCCTGGCTCATGTTTGTTATGTTTTAAAATGGGTGATAAAATTGTAGTCATTGAGTCACACCTAAATAAAGGTCCACAGGAGATTCTGTTTAGAGGATTTGCATTTTAGAGCTGGGTGTAGTGGAACCTGCCTGTAATCCCTGGATCTGGGATGTGGAGGCCAGAGAGGTTCAAGAGTTCAGGGCCAGCTCCAGCTACATAGTGAGTTTGAGACTACTTGGACTGCAAGAGACCCTGACCCCCCCCAAAAAAGTAGAGAGCGTATGAGTGAGTGTGTTTGGGTTGAGTAGAGACTCGAAAAGGATTTGCATTTATGTTCTGGTTCTGAAACAAGAGCTCTCTAGACACTGCAGCCCTCTAATCATTCCTGTGATTAAAACTTTATTTTAGGTACTCAGATACATTATTTAAGTCACCTGATATCAAGTCGGACAGTTTGGAGGACCTGTGGGAAAATCTGAGTTTAAAGCCTGCCAACTCCCCTCATATAAATATCTCTACCAGGCTGTCTCCTCAAGGTAAACTAATGATGCACAGTGAGAAATAGAAGTCTCAGTAGATATAGTTGTTGACGGTATTTCCTCCCAACCTTTATCTGAATTTTAATATTTAAGCAGAGAAAGAATATGCTGTGTGTTGAAGCTGTTTATGTTACGCTTCAACAGAAGTCTATTATCTTGAACAACACATCAGTGTTACAGCTCTTGAACACTGACTTTTGTCCATCAGCTGGCAGAGGTTCAAATCTAAAATGTTTTGCATGCAGATTCTTACTCAGTATATCCTCCCAGATGTTTCGTTTTCTACGATTTTATTAGGTTACATGAAAAATTAAAAATCATAAATAGAATTCTTATGTTCTTCCTTGTGGCCATGGAATGCAGCCTGATGATTTTGATTTCCACTTCCCCTCCCCCATCCTGGTTGTGTGGAAAGCCTGAGCGCAATACTCTGCAGCCAATGGATTCAAATGAGTTTTGAGGCTGAATGAACCATTCTTTCTTCTGAAGCCCTTATTAACATGTTGTATGGCTTGATCTCTTATCTCTGACATACTGCTTTATATAGTACAAAGAATGACAAGAATTCCTGTTGTCCAGTGCCTGTTCTCCTACACTTTAAACAACTCTTGGATTGTCTAATAAGAAAGCAGCACTCCATGAGTAAGGGTGGCCTGGTACCTCCTTTCTGCCACCAATTTAATAGACCTGCCTAGACAAATCCCACAGTGAGCATAGAATAGACAACTTGCCTAGACAAATCCCGCAGTGAGCATGGAATAGCTGTTAATTGTTACCTCTTGCTTTGTTTTCCTGTGTAGTTATTAATGAAGTATGGCAAGAAGAGACGATTGGACGTCTACTACAACTTGTCGACCTTCCATTTCTTGACTCCTTACTCAAACAGCAAGAGGCTGTACCTAAAGTCCCTCAGTCTAAGAGACAGCCTGGCATGGTCAACACCACTAACTATCTGGACCGAGGGATTCTCAGGGCCTATGGTGACTCTCAGTATGTGTAAATAATATAATTATTTCAGTGTGTTTGTGGGTAGAGTGCTTGCCCAGTGTGCAAAAAGCTCTGGGTTCAAGCCTTGCACTGTGGCCCACACCTGGCGTCCTAGCACTTAGGCGGTAGAGGCAGAAGGATCAGCATTTAAGGCTTCCTTCAGCTGCATAGCTAGTTTGAGGCCAGCTTGGGCTGCATGAGACCCTGTACTTGTAATCCCAACACTTGGGAGACAGAGGCAGGAAGCTTTGGCAGTTTGAGGCCAGTCAGGGCCTCATACATACTGAGACTGTGTCTCAAAAAAACTGTGTGTGTGTGTGTGTGTGTGTGTGTGTGTGTGTGTGTGTGTGTGTGAATATAAATCTCAAGATTTTAAGTCCTATAGTGCTAAGAGCAGACTGTTTTATCTTAGGAGTTCCATGTTCCTCATAACTTGGAATATTCTTCTAAGGAAAATTATAAAAGGTCAAAATAGCTTCTGTGATTTCAGTTGATTTAATGTGTAATTATTTTGCCTCAGTAGGTAGTGTTCCAGTCCAGTTAAGGAGATGGACGTGGTTAAGGAGTACAACTTACTTTTTTGGTTCTTCCTAGCTCTGCATTTCAACACACTATTAATATGAATAGTTGAATGCTAACAGATAGTATTAAAGAGCCCAGTGAGGTGGCTGCCACCGCATTAATCTGAGCACTCAGGAGGCAGAGGCAGAAAGATCTCTGTGTTCCAGGCCAGCCTGGTCCACATAGTGAGTTCCATGACAGCCAGGGCTACATAGAGAAACCCTTTCTGAAAAAATAAAAATAAAAATAAATAAAAATTTAAGGCTTAAAGTCTTACATGAAAGTATTGATCTTAACATACTGTTAAGTTCTGCATATATAATAGGAAGTTTATTCTACATGTTTGTTTCTATAACCTAAAGCAATGTGGAAATATATATAATATATATATTATACATATAATTTTGTTTGTTTTGTTTTTCAAGACAGAGTTTCTTTGTGTAGCCTTGGCTTATCCCAGAACTAGCTTGTTGACCAGACTGGCCTTGAACTCATAGAGATCTGACTGTCTCTGCCTCCTGAGTGCTGGGATTAAAGGCATGCATCACCATGGCTTGGTGGAAATATTTTTATAATTACCTAAATATTCAGAATTTGTGCTAGAAATGACCTTAAAGATAATCTAGCTTCATCTTTTTATAAACTCCAGCTGTCTCAAGTCTATGGCAGTAGAGGACATATAACAAGTTTATTGGAACACAGCATTTTCTGACTGGGGATGTAGCTCAACTGGTAGAGTGTTTGCCTTCCATATGTGAAACCCTGGGTTTAATCTCCTGTGCCTCATAACGGTAGCAAATGCTTGTGGTCCAAGCACTCAGGAGGATCAAAAGTTGGCCGTCATCCTTACTTACACAGTGAGCTGAAGGGCAGCCTGGGCCACAAGAGACCCTAATCTCAAAAAGAAGAACATTTTACCCATTGATTTAATTATTTTGAAATGCTGTCTTTTTTATTGTATTCTGTCCTAGCTAAAGCTAGAGATAACACATCATACATGTGGCTCTAAAGTTAGCAACATTGTATGGTAGAATTACAGCTTTAAGAGTCAGTCTGAAATGAGATGTCGGTGGTATCACACATCTGTAATCCTAGCACTAGGGAGAATCAAGATTGGGTATTGTCCCCAATAATTACACGGTGACTTCTTACTAATTATGAAAGTTTGGCCTTTAGCTTAGTCTTGTACCCATCTAGCTCTTATAACTTAAATTAACCTGTTTCTGTTAATCTACATTCTGCCTCGTGGCTTTTTACCTCCTCCATTCTGTATGTTTGACTCCTTCCGTGTCTCGCTGGCGTCTCCTACCACGCCAGATTCTAACCCCGAGTTCCTCTCTCTGCCTGGAAGTACCGCCTATTCTCTCCTGCCTGGTTATTGGCCATTCAGCTCTTTATTAAATGAATCAGATACCTTAGGCAGGCAAGGTAAAATATAGACACATCTTCATGCAATGTAAATAAATATCTCACAACAATTGAGAGTTCCGGGTTAAGTTTTTTGTTTTTTGTTTTTTAAAGATTTATTTATTTATTAGGTATACAGGGTGCTAGATCTCATTACAGATGGTTGTGAGCCACCATGTGGTTGCTGGGAATTGAACTCAGAACCTCTGGAAGAGCAGTCAGTGCTCCTAACCTCTAAGCCATCTCTCCAACCCCTGGGTTAAGTTTTAATTTTGATGACCTTCACATCCTTATTGTAGTAGATATTTTTACACACAAGGAAAATGCAATTTAGCTAATTTCTTTGACCTGTCATACACAATTTAGGCATATAACAAATGATTTTACTGTATTTAAGTGTGGAAAAATTTATCCTGGTGGCAAGCATGAACTATCTTGGGAATTAGATACTATGTGTCTGTGTTCTCTTTGCATTTTAAAATAACCCTCCTCTCCCTTGCTCTAGGGAAGATGAATGGATCTCTGCAGCCATCGACTGCTTGGAGTATCTTCCTGACCAGATGGTTGTGGACATAAGCAGAAATTTTCCTGAGCAACCAGACAGAACAGACTTAGTGAAAGAACTTCTTTTCGATGCTGTTAGCAAATATTATAGCACTAGGGAGCCTCTGTTAAATCACCTGTGTGACGTCCATAATGGAATAGCGGAGCTCCTAGGTGAGTGAGCTCTGACCACAGAATCCAAAGTTAATTGTCCTCAACGTGAACCAAAATAGAACTCTGGAAAGCTGGGAGGGGATCTGGACTAGTCTTAGAGAATATACTGAGCACATCTAGGGCTCCCTCTGAGATCTTAGCCACTCTGAAGTTAGGAGGGAACGTGGCTGCTGCCTCAGGACACGGCTGTCATTTGCTGCAAGCTTAGGCAGGAGCGTCAGTTCTCGATTTAGGAGGGTTGCCAGCCTGACCCTACAGCCTGTCAGAAGGGCGGCGCTCTGCTCTCCTATCTGCGCGGTCCTGCTGTTTCTCGGGGATTTTGAAAACAAAGTCAGAGTCCCTTCTAGTTTTCTCAGTACAGTTATCAGCATTCTACACACAGTACACTTTCAGAGTGTGCTCATGGGAAACAGTGGGAATTTAAGAAGCCAAGAGTCAGATTCAACACCCGAAGACAGTCTTGACTAGGGCCTAGAGTATCAATTGCTGATCTGAGAGCAGGCTCTCTGTATAGTGTTGGTCATTCATTTTATTTTATTTATTGAAATTGCACTTATTTGAGAGTGTACGTGTATTGTCCACCTGCATACATAGCACATGTGTAGAAGTCAGAGGACAGCCTCCTGGAGTTGGTTCTCTCCTGGTTTCATTCCCACCTTGTTGTTTGGTTTTTGCTTTTGGAAATAACTTGAAGTGTGCTACTTAGCATAAAGTGTAACCAGTTTTGTTCATCTTAGTAGAGTTTTATTTGGTCAATGAAGCATTTGTTTTCTTTCGGCTGAAGTCAATGGGAAGACAGAAATAGCGTTGGAAGCTACTCAGCTGTTTCTGAAGCTTCTGGATTCCCAAAATAGAGAAGAATTTAGAAGACTGCTGTACTTCATGGCTGTCGCAGCGCATCCTTCGGAATTTAAGTTACAGGAAGAAGTAAGTCTGTTGGTAAATGTCAATCGTATGCAGTGGCTTCAGCACCCGGATGCTGCCGTGGGAGGCAGCTCTCCCTATTTGCTCTCCTCTTAGCACTAGCGTTAGCTTTCAGTCTGTGCCGTGCGGCCTGTTCTTGTGCTTACAGAGTGACAATCGGATGGTTGTGAAAAGGGTGTTCTCCAAAGCTATCGTCAACAATAAAAACTTATCCAAAGGCAAAACTGATCTCCTCGTACTCTTCCTAATGGATCACCAAAAAGATGTTTTCAAGGTCAGACACCGACCATAAGGCTTATTCATGCTTATTTGTAACAGATCTAAATGCACGTGAATAATGTCCTATGTCCCTTCTTCCTAAGATTCCTGGAACGCTACATAAAATTGTGAGTGTTAAGCTTCTGGCCATACAAAAAGGAAGAGATCCTAATAAAGACACAGGTAATTTAAGACTATTATCTGCATGGTCCTTTTTTTTTTCTTTTTCTTTTTTCTTTCTTTCTTTTTTTTTTTTTTAATTTAAAGCACGAGCTCATTGTAACCCAGGCTGGCCATGGCCATGTAGCCACAGATGACCTTGACGTCCTGGTCCTCCTGCCTCCACCTTCCAAGTGCTGGAACCACAGGTGTTTGAGGCCACTCCCAATTTAATGTTTCATCATTCTAAAGACAAGTCCGTAGTGCTGACTTGAAAGTATTTTGCTATGATTAGTTTCAACTAAATAATTTGAAACATTCCCCTCAATTTTTTAGACTTAACAGAGTTCTTCCTGAGCTAAAACAACTTCAGATTCTTTTTTCTTGTCTATTTTAAAACCTTTAAAAGTCACATTTGCTTATTCTCTCTCTCTCTCTCTCTCTCTCTCTCTCTCTCTCTCTCTCTCTCTCTCTCTCTCTCTCTTCTCTCTCATGTGTGTGTGGAGGTCAGAGGACAACGTTCAGGAGTTGATTCTCTGTTTCCACTATAAGGGTCACAAGCATTGAACTCAGAACATCGGGCTCAGAGGCCTTTCCCATGAGCCATCTCATAGGCTAGCATAAAACATCTTTGTTATTGTTTTTGCTCTTTTGGGGGGCCCACACTCCAGCTCCCAAATAAATCACACACAAAGACATATTCCTATTTATAAATGCCTGGCCTTAGCTTGGCTTATTTCTTGCCAGCTTTTTTTTACTTAAATTATCCCATATACCTTTTGCATCTGGGCTTTTCCCATTCTCTTCTGTAAATCTTACTCTTATTCCGTGGGTGGCTGGGTGGCTGCCCCCTGGAGTTCTCCTCCTTCTCTGGCTACTTCTCTTTTCTCTGTTCTCCTCCCAGATTTCTCCTTCTGTGTATTCTGCTTGCCAGCCCCGCCTATCCTTTCTCCTGCCTCACTATTGGCCATTCAGCTCTTTATTAGACCATCAGGGGTTTTAGACAGGCACAGTAACACAGCTTCACGGAGTTAAACAAATGTAGCATAAACAAAAGTAACATACCTTAAAATAATATTCTACAACATATCTTGATTGCTGGGTAGTGGTGCACACCTTTAATCCCAGCACTCGGGAGGCAGAGGCAGGTAGATCTCTCTGAGTTCGAGGCCAGCCTGGGCTACACAGAGAAACCCTGTCTTGAAAAAGAAAAAATAGACCTTGATCAGGGTTATTCTTACTATCCTCTTTGATTTATTTTATAGAATGTCAAAGGAAAAGAAAAGAAACTACTGCATGATTTTTCTAGTTGAGTGTGGGAATAGAATCATTAACTGGAACTTCTTGCTTTTAAACCTTAAGGCTATATTTATTGCCAGAGAATTGATGAAAGTGACTATTCTAGCAGTGCTCAGAAGAAAACCAAAGACGAACTGTTGAACTTACTCAAGACTATTGATGAGGATTCAAAACTCTCTGCCAGAGAGAAGAAGAAACTGCTAGGCCAGTTCCATAAGACTCATCCAGACATCTTCAATGAGTATTTTGGAGACTGAACTTCTAATGTCTGTGTGTATGTGCACTCTGTATTTTAAGGACAAATTATGTAGCCTAAAGATATTTTTAGCTTGGATGTCTAAATATGAAGTTGTACTTAATAAAAATTTTATACTCGTATGTGTCAAAAAACCATTACTCAAATGATGTATTGATGTTAAGGACTAGATGAGTCCTTAAGGAGAGTTGATTTACAATTATTATGTTGAATTTATATAGAAAATCAGGGATTTAGAGGATATGATAGTAATATATTTATGTAAGAAAGTACTGGGGCTAGAGAGATGGCTCAGCAGTTAAGAGCACTTGTTGCTCTTGTAGAAGACCTGGGTTTGGGTCCCAGCACCTACATGGTGGCTCACAACCATATGTAACTCTGGTCTCAGGGGACCCAGTGCCCTCTTCTGACCTCTGTGGGCAATGTACACACACAGTACATCTACATCCTCATTCATATAAAGTAAACACATCTAATAATAAAAGTATTCAACAGGAAGTCTACATATTAGTAGGGATGTGTTTCTGGTTTTAGTTTTCATTTTTTTGAGACAGGATAATGGTGGTAGAAAACGGCCCCCAAAGGGAGTGGCACTATTAGGGGGTGTGGCTTTATTGGAGTAGGTATGCCCTTGTTGGAGGAAGTGTCTCACTATGGAAGCAGGCTTTGAGGTCTCATGTATGCTCAAGTTTTGCTCAGTGTGATACTCAGAGCACTTCCTGTTGCCTGCAAGATGTAGGACTCTCAGCTCCTTCTGCAGCACCATGTCCTACCATGATGATAATGGACTGAACCTCTGAACTGTGAGTGAGCTACCCCAATTAAATGTTTTCCTTTATAAGTTGCCATGGCTCAGTGGGTAAAGACACCTGCCACCACGCCTAAGGAACCGAGTTTGATCCTTGGGACCCACATGGTAGAAGGAGAGAACGTCCGTAAGTTTCCCTCTGACCACATACGTGTTGTGGCACAGGTGCCCCCACATGTAACACATACCCACCCACACATACAAAATCAAAGTAATGGGAGATGTTTTAAAGTGGTAGGGAAAACTTGAAGACTGCCCCAATCTGCTGGCATACTGTGAGTGATCTCCCTTAATAGCAGCTAATCTTCCAACAGAAGGCTGAGGACTATAATATATATGATACCTGTTACCCTAGGAAAGCCAGGTTTTTGGCACATGTAAGAAAAAGAGACACCTTTGGAAGTGGTGAAGGAAAGAGATCGTGACTTCAGTGTGAGAGGAAGTTTGCAGAAGGAGGCTACTGAAACTGGAGAGGAGGATCCACATGTTGGCGGAGCAGCTGCACACTATCTATCTGGTTTGCAGTCTTGGTTTTGCATATAATTAAAGCATGATTCTTTGGCTCCCAGAACTAACACCTTCAGGAAAAGACAGGAGCACTCATTTTCTAACTGCTAGCAGTGTTCATGGTTTTTTTTTGTTGTTGTTGTTGTTGTTTTTTTAAGATAGGGTATCTCTGTGTAGCCCTGGCTATCCTGGAACTCACTCTAGACCAGGCTGGCCTCAAACTCAGAGATCCATTTGCTTCTGCTTCCCAAGTACTAGGATTAAAGACTTTTAGAATCAGCATTCTACCAGAATGTTCATTTCATGGAAAACATTAAGATAAAATCACAGTTTAAGCTGGGTGGTGGTGGTGGTGGTGGCGGCGGCGGCGGCGGCGGCGGCGGCGGCGGCGGCGCACGCCTTTAATCCCAGCACTCGGGAGGCAGAGGCAGGCGGATCTTTGTGAGTTCGAGGCCAGCCTGGTCTCCAAAGCGAGTTCCAGGAAAGGCGCAAAGCTACACAGAGAAACCCTGTCTCGAAAAACCAAAAAAAAAAAAAATCACAGTTTAAAGCCAGATATGATGGCCAGTGTCTAATCCCAGTACTTCAGAGGCTGAAAAGGGAAGATTGTGAGTTGCAGGTTAGCCTGAGCTACATAGCAGATCTTGTCTGGGGTGAGGGTGGGGCAGCGTACCTCAAACTTTTCTTTTTTACTTAACGTAATTTCCTTATTGAATCTTTGGGAATTTCGAGTCCTGCACCCTAATTCTGCTTACCTCCAGTCCCTCCACCATGTCCTCCCCTCATCCCTGCAGTGGCCCCACAAAAGAAAATTCAAAACAAAACCAAGACAAGCAAACAAAAAAACCACTTCATCTTTCCTGCCTCTGCAACACCTCTTCCTTTATCCTGGTGGCATTGGGAGCTGCAGTGAGTCACACAGTACACCCTTTTGTCCTATCAGCTTTACTTGTAAATGTCCATTGCAGTGAGTCATTGGTCTGGTTCAAGGCCTCTGGTTTCTAGCACACCATCATCACTGGATCCTCACCGAAACTCCTCTCAGATATCCCTCGGCCACCCCGAGTCATGGGTGATATCTGAGAGGAGATCCTGCGGGTATCTTTCCACAGGACCAGTCCCTTTATAAGCTCCAGCAGGTCCTAGATGGGGTAGGTGTTAGGATGGGCCAACCCCAGGCCCAACTGTGGGCCTGCGTGGTAGTTGAGCTGGTCAGTCCAGGCCACGGGGGCCATGCTCCTTAGGCAAGGGGCAGAGCCAGCTCCTCTACACCCATGCCATCGGGTCAGTTCTCCCTCACCCATGTGGGGAATGGGGCCACCTCTCCCGAGTGCAGGGGAGCCAGCTCTCTTGCTGCACTGTCCAGTGAGGGGCAGGGGCAGGTACTCCAGAACCAGCAAAGAGCGAGCCCAGCTCAGCATGGCCCTCTGATTTCATCACACACGGTTCCCATGTTCCCCTGAGGTGAGATGGGCCACGGACATCAACACAGATCCCAGCTGCAGCAGGACCACAGACCCAGACATGGCCCTCGGCAGCAGCTTGGGCTTCCATGACATTCTGGCTCTGGTGGCAGCACAGCCCCTGGACACCAACAAGGCCACAGGTGGCAGCCCGACCCTTTGGTGGCAACGTGGGCCTTGGACTTCAACACAGACCCCGGCTGCGGTAGGACCATGAACCCAGACATGGTCCCCAACAGCAGCCCAGGTCTGGACATTACCATGGCCCCAGGTGGCAGCACAGGACATCCAGACCAGCATGGCCCTGGTGGCAGTGCAGCTAGCTCTCAGACACCAACATGGCCCCAGGTGGTGGCCCAGACCCTGGGAATCTGCATGGCACTCGTGGTTAAGAGGAGCCATGGATGTCAACACAGACCGTGACTGCAGTGGGGCCATGGACCCAGACATGCATGGCCCTCAGCTGCAGCTGTAGCCCAGACATCACTATGGTAACAGGTAGGAGCATAGGCTACTCAGATCTGTATTGTTGTCGAGTATTATTTTAAGGTATGTTCCTTTTTTTTTTTTGGTTTTTCGAGACAGGGTTTCTCTGTGTAGCTTTGTGCCTTTCCTGGAACTCACTTTGGAGACCAGGCTGGCCTCGAACTCACAGAGATCCGCCTGGCTCTGCCTCCCGAGTGCTGGGATTAAAGGCGTGCGCCACCACCGCCTGGCTTTGTGTTGCATTCTTTTATGTTGCATTTATTTAACTCTGTGAAGCTGTGTTACTTTGCCTGTCTAAAACACCGCGCGGTCTAATAAAGAGCTGAACAGCCAATATTGAGGCAAGAGAAAGGATAGGTAGGGTTGGCAGGCAGAGAGAATAAATAGGAGAAATCTGGGAGAAGAAAAAGAAAGGGCAAGAGAATGAGGAGAGGAGAATGTTAGGGGTCAGCCACACAGCCAGCCAGCCACAGAGTAAGAGTGAAAGTAAGATATACAGAAGTAAGAAAAGGAAAAAGCCCAGAAGCAAAAGGTAGATGGGGATAATTAAAGTTAAGGAAAGCTGGCTAGAAACAAGACAAGCTAAGCCTGGGCATTTATAATTAAAAATAAGCCTCCGTGTGTGATTTATTTGGGAGCTGGGTGGTGCCCCCCCCCCCCCCAGAGAACAAAGAGCAAAAGAGTAGAAAAAGATAACCAACAGGACTGTATGGCCCCGGCTGCACCATGGCCCCCAGACTCCAACAAGGCCACAGGTTCTGGCCCAGACCCCGGGCCTCCCTGTGGCCCCTGGTGGCAACTTGGGCCACAGACTTCAGAGCAGACCCCAGCTGCAGTAACCACAGATCCAGTCATGGTCCTTGGCAGTAGCCCAGATCTGGACATCACCATGGCCCCAGGTGGCAGCACAGGTCACCCAGATCATCATGACCCCAACAGTACCACAGCCCTCGGGCACCAACACTGCTCCAGGTGTCAGTCCAGAGCCCAGAAATCTGCATGGCCTTCATGGCAACAGGAGCCATGGACATCAACACAGACCCTGCCTGCAGTAGGGCCACGTACCTCAAACTTAGTAAGAATTTTAGAAATATATTACATTTATTTATGCATGTGTGTGTGTACTCAAGTGTGCAGGTCAACTTGGAAAAGTAGATATCTTCCGCCATGTGGAGCCTGGGATCAGATTCAGGTCATTGGGCTCTGCAGCTATCATCTTTACCCGTTCAGCCAGCTGACTGGTCCAAGCATAGCGTATTTTGGGGCTAGAGAGATGGTTCAGCGATTAAGCGCACTGGCTGCTCTTCCAGAGGTCCTGAGTTCAATTCCTAGCACCCACAGGACGGCTCACAACCATCTCTAGTGGGATCTGATGCCCTTTTCTGGCGTAAAGGTGTACCTGCAGATAGAGCACTCATATACATAAAATAAATCTTTACAAAGAAAAAAAGGATATTTCAAGGTAAATTGTTGCAGGATGTTGTAGAATATTATTTTAAGGCGTGTTACTTTTGTTTATGTCACATTTGTTTAACTCTGTGAAGCTGTGTTGCTTTGCCTGTCTAAAATACCTGATGGTCTAATAAAGAGCTGGCCAATAAGGCAGGAGAAAGGATAGGCGGGGCTGGCAGGCAGAGAGAACATAGAGAGGGGGAAATCTGAGAGGGAAAAAAAGGAGGGACCTAGCAGCCAGAGGAGGAGGAGGACTCCAGGGGCCAGCCACCCAGCTACTGTAAGAGCAAGATTTACAGAAGTAAAGGAACATGAAAAGCCCCAAGGCAAAAGGTAGTTGGGATAATTTAAGAAAAGCTGGGTGGAAACTAAGCCAAACTAAGGCTGGGCATTCATAAGAAGAAATAAGCCTCCATGTGTGATTTATTTGGGAGCTGGGTGACAGGCGCCCAAAAAAGAATAAAACAACCAACAGTGGGATATTCAATCACATTGTGAACCCCAAGTTTGCTTTGTGTTAATTAAATAAAATCAACCTTGGCTTAGGGGGTGGAGCCAGCAACTAGTTGACCAGAATTAGCCATAGAGAGTCCGGAGGAGCCAGGAATACGGGAGTGGGTCTCCAGCCAAAAAGCAAGGTCAGCTGGTTACTTCTTGCCCTCTCTGGTCTAGCAGGTTTTCACTTCTACATCTGACTTCTGAGTCTTTGTTGGTAAGTAGAACCACAGAGACTTAGTTTAAACCTACATATCAAGACTAAGGCAGAGCCGTGGCCTGAGTGATTGGCAGGGCGCTGACTGTGGAGTGGGGGTGGGGGTGGGGGTGGATAGAAAATCTATCATTTTCTGAAGACATCATAAACTTCAAGCCCTAGGGCCGGTGCTACTCTTGGAGAACCTTGTGGGTCACTACAACTATCCTTACCCCAGCTCGGTGCGGTGCCCTCTTCACTCATTCATGATGTCTTCTACAGGGCTTGTCCCCATGTGCGTGCTCAGTGCTGAGGTGACTGAGCTTGGTCTCCGCTCAGCAGAGGAGACCGAGGCCGAGCGTCTCATCCGAAGGCAGCCTCCTACAGACTAAGGAGACAGGCTTTATGCAAAAGTCATCCTGGCTGGCCAAATTCTA